TACGTGGTGGGGAGCCGCTCAGCCTTGCGGGGAGCCAGGGGTCCCCCGGGGCAGCCCCGGCTCCTGCCACAGAGCTGCTGCCCAGCAGTGCATGTGCACAGCACCACCCCCGGTGTCTCAGTGGAAACGCTGGGGAAAAAAAAAACCACCCACAGCTCAAGAAGTCGTTAATTAAGCATGTAGAGGAAGACAAACCTCGGGTAGAGTTGAGGAAGCTCAGCTGCTCAGGGGGGATGTTCAATCATTTGTGCTTAATCTCGCCTGGGGAGAAGGCAGGTCCCTCTGAAACGACACATCCCGGCCCTGATGCCTGCAGAGCTACGAGGAAACCCACACTTCCCACCCATTTTTCAAGCCCCACAGCCACCGGCCACACCAGCAAAGCCAGCCGCAGCGCCAGGCGCTCAAAGGCTGCAGAGCTACAGGCTCATCCTGGCAGCACTGGGGTTAGAGCGGTGAGAGGCAGCGTGGGGCTGCTCCCCTGCCTGGGGAATGGAGCACCAGCAGGGCACAAGCCTTGGAGAAAGCCGCAGGAGGAGGTGTCCCCCTGAGCGGGTCAGACCATCACTGCAGGTGTCCCGCAGCTGGCCCACTCATGACCAAGCCGGGCGCTTGCACCTTGTGAGGCCAGGAATCACCCAGGCAAAGTGTCCCCAGCGCTGCCCAGGGGTGAGGGAGCTTGACCAGAGCACGTCCGGGGACGCAGGGCTGGTCCTCAGCCCCTAGAGTCCTGAAATGGGGAACTCCTAGAGAAACTGCAACAGAAACCAAAGCAATCATCAAGCCAACACGAACAAAACAAGAAATACAACCAACCAGACCAACCCAAACCAAAATAATCAAAGGCCAGAGGAAAAACCAATCTCCCCGGGAAGGCAGAGCCCAAGCAAACAAGCCAGGTTTCGGCCCCATGGACATGCTCCCTTCCCAGCACCCCCAGCAGCAGCGGTTACCCCCCGTGGAGGGCAGCGTGGCAGGGCCACCTGCAAGGAGCCTTCTGCAGTGGGCGCCAGGAGGGGGGGAAGGCAGGTGCCCTGCTCAAGGAACTCAAACACTGCACGTTTAGCACTAGTGGACCCGGGCAAATTAGGTTTGTGGTAGATGTGCTTCGATCTCCTTGAGACTTCTCTTTGCCACTCGAGTATTTATCAAACCTGGCTATCGCAGCTGCGGGGCCCTGGGAGCATTTGCAGCCGAAGCAGG